AAACATTTCGGCTGATCCTACAACATCTAAGATATTTATTTTGATATTTTAGTATAATATTTTATTATCTGAATATATGATCTATAGTTTTGAACTGATGTTGTCATTCATAATTTATAATACATCGTTTGATCTGTATCTCTCCTGCATGATCTGCATCTCTCCTGCATGATCCGCTTAATCTGCACTTGTCATGCTTGATCTGCACTTGTCATGTTTGATCTGCACTTGTCCTACTTGATCTGCATGAACCGCTTGATCTGCACCGCTTGATCTGCTTTTACCATTCGAAGCCATAATCTCCATAAGATCTTGGTGTATATCGAACAAAATATTATTTTAATAGAATGAATCCTAATCCCCTTTCATCTAATTGTTCGATTTTGTGAAGATGAGCAATTGTTTTGGTTAATTGCCGACAATATGCTTTTGATTAGTCAGGGCCACTTTAATGTAGATGCTGCTGATATACCACTCATTAAGAGTATGACCATTAGTTCCACGCATCGCCGAGATACTTACTGCTGGAGCTACACAAGGACGGGACAATATACAGTTAAATCTGGATATTGGGTAGCACATAATATATTGATGAAGGAAGAGGAATCTGTTGTATGTGAGCCTAGTATCATAAAAATCCAGGAACATACATGGAAGATCAAGGCTCCCCAAAAGATATGTCATCTTATGTGGCAATTGATAACATGACATGTGGCTGTTACGAGTATCTTAAATTACATACATATGAGATGCGATAATCACTGCCCTCGTTGTGGGGAACCTGAGGAAACAATCACTCATGCAATATTCGAATGCCCACCTGCACTACAAGTTTGGGCGTTATCATCTACGCCTACCAATCCCGCTTTGTTTCCGGTTTCAAGTACGTACGCAAACATGGATTATCTATTCTGGAGAAAAAAATACCATAATGGAACCGGAAATGGATAGGGATTCTTATCCTTGGCTAATCTGGTACATTTGGAAGGCTCGGAATGATAAGCTATTCAGAGGTATTGATAGAGACCCATTGAAGGTAGCGCGCTATGCAGAAAGTGAGAGCCAAGCCTGGTTCTAGGCAAATGAGCAGGACATATCGGCCTCCCTTGAGAACATAATAGAAGAAGACCAGGCCTTAAGTCTGGGTAACATATGCATGGTGGATGGATCTTGGACTTCTACTGACCTTTTCAGTGGATGTGGATGGGTGCTGAATGAAAGTTTCGGAAATGGACAGGTAATGGGGGTGCGTAATTTTGATAGAGTGGAATCAGCGTTGCATTCAAAATTGGAGGCACTGCGGTGGGCAATGGAGAACATGCTTCAACATTCGCTATGTCAGAGCTTTGGAACTGATTGTAAGGAGATGATTGAGATGCTCAGGAATCCTCATGCGTGGCCCATCTTCTCTACGGAACTGGAAAAACTCTTGACACTGAGGATTTGCTTACTGGACTTCAAGATTTTTTATGTTCCTAGATTACATAACGGTTTTTCCGATTCTCTAGCTAAGACAGCTAGGTCCTTTTATCGTAAGCTTATATACGTTGGTTGTTCTATTCCGGTCTGGTTACCCAGACCACCTCAAGCTTGAGTAATAGATCAGCCATTTGATGTCAAAAAAAAAAAAATTGACATATAGTAGTAAAACCTCTCTAAATTAATAAATTTTGTCAGTCCAATTAAACCGTTTTAAAATTTGATACAAATCAATAAAACAATAAAATAATATTTTTTAGGAATTTTTATGTAAATAGATGGTTTCCTTAAAATTATAAATTAATCATTTATATCTATACATATTTTATATAAGTGAGAATCTAGCATTATATTTCATCTTCTATATTCACAATAAAATTATTTTTATATTTTAACATTTAATATATTTTTGATGAGATTTAGTAATATTATATCTAAAACCACATTTAAATTCTATAAAATATATATTATATACACTAAATAATATAAGAAAGTAAGAGAAATTTCCTATGATAGACGTAAAATAGTTTTTGTCACAAATATAGATCTTAAAAATAAAAAGTGACCAAAACATGTTTAAATTTTTTTTATCAAAAATAAGTAAATATACACTTATATCTTTTGTTTTAACTAATTCTAGAATTTTTGTTTAGAGTTGAAGAGTGGAGTTCTGAGGATAAGATTTCAAATTTTTAAAAATAACAAAAAACTTAAAGTTTTTTAAAATGATATTTTGGTCATTTTAGTTTTTGAGATCTATTTTGTGATAAAAACTTAAAAAAAAATCTATTTGAGAGAATTGCTCATAAATTAATATAAGTGTAAATTTAAAAAAAATATCTATAAAGATAAAATATTTCTCTTATCTTAGAATAAATACAACTAAAAATACAATATAAATAAAAAATTTTTTTTTTTAAATTTTGATGTCTTTATAAATTAATAAAATTTCAAAATCCCAACATTATTAATTTATAAAAATTCTACTGTAGTTCAGAGTCTGTAAATTATATATTCACTTAAGAGTCCATACAACTTCCAACAAGTCTTCGTTTTATTTCAAAAATCAATATGTTCAATTGCTACTGAATTCAGGGTCTTAAATTTTTTTGACCGCGTCACAATATTGATTTAATTATAGTATTTCCATGATATTTTTAACTTGCACCATGGTGCAGGTTTCTACCCAATAAATAATATTCTTAGCAATCCTGAAAAGATAGCATTTTTGGCAGATTAAATTGTTCTTATTGAATTTTAGCAATACAATTTTAGGAGGGTTATGGGCGAAAATTTTCATCAATTTTGAAATTTTTTAAATTTCTATATTATCGTTTCATGATTTTTAAACTCTTAGTAAATCCACAATTATTGGTTTAAGAATTTTCAAAATCTATTCAAATACTTTGTTATTCAAAAAGTTTAGTCACTATTGATGTTATAATTCTAACTAAACCTAGTTTTATTGGGAGATAAATTCTCTACCTTTTAACACATAAGACACAAATTTCAAAATATCATATATATCTATGAAGTTTTCACTGTGATTAAAACATCTAGAAAGCAAAATAATTCTTATTACCAAATATATATTTCACCTTTAATCAAAATTATATGTCTCACATTATAATTCATTACATTTTTATTTACTTACCTTTTAATGTATAGTTATATTTTTATTTTGTTTAAAAAATAAAAACTAAGAAATATATAAAAGTGACCAAATGAGGTTTCACTAAAGACCAAGCGATTTTTCTACTCTTTGCTTTATAAATATAAATAATAAATATATAATTATAAAAATAAAAATGAAAAGATTAAAAATAAAAAATAAATATTTTTATGTTTTATATGTTTCCAGATGCAAAATTTTTATATTTTTTTCAAATTTTTTTTTAAAAAATTTTATTTTTGAAATTCGATAATTCTTCTTAAATTTTTTTTTTATAATTTTAATATTTATTTTCGATTTTTGAATATTTTAAACATTGTCCCCATAATCCTACCCCAACTCTAAACAAAAAGTTTATAATTAATTAACCCAAACATACGTTACATCGTTAAATCTGTAAGTTGGAAAATTAACCCAAACATAGGTTGTAATCCTGCCGAGTTTTGGAGTCGTGATAGAGCCGTTTGTAAAATTCAAAATCTACTATAATTAAAAGGGCTTAATAACCCCCTCTCACCCTGTCCACATCAGCATATAAATTCAGCCACTCAGAAAACTCTAATTAGTCACGTCAGTTTTGTCGACACAAATTTTCGCTGGCCAATTATTGGGTACTAGGAAATAGCCCACAAGAGCCCAACTCTCATAATTTTTTTTATCACAATCGTCGGAAACGCTTCTGATTCACCATTGTCGCTTTCAATTCACCATCATCAGTTTTCAATCTCTGCGCATCCGATCTACTGGCACTCATTCAATTGCATTCTTTACCTCATTCTTCATTAACTATGATATCATTTCTACTCTTTTATAAACCTCTTTGTCGATGAAACCAGAATGACCATTTCCCTTCCCTTCCCTCCCCTCATCATAACCTTCTTCTTCTTAATCTTCTACTCTTCCTTCCACATCTGATTGTTCTTGGCGACTTTAAAACAGTAGCAATCGTCCAACCAGAACAACCTCATAACCATTAGCTTCTTTCCATCTCCTTGAAGCAAAGGAAAAAAACTTATTTCGTATCGACCAAGCAAGGGTGAGGATATGAGAGATTTTCATAAAAGGCTGCTTAATTACGAGTTGAACCAAGAAGATCACCTTACTCTTGACAACAACAACGAAAAATATTCTATTTGGTTGTAAGTTTTTTTTGGTGCAAACTTTTGGTCGTAAGTTGTATACATCAGTTTGCTGAATTTTGCTTAATTATATAATCACGCGAAAACAATTATTTGAGGATTGTATAACTGATTCATGTTAACTTCCAACCTTTTTGTGACAGGTTATTGCATAAATAGAAGTATGTGCGTCTGGCTTTCTAGAAGGCACCTACTTTCTTCACACCACTCTGTTTTAATAGTGTCTCTCTAAAATCTTTGTTAGTGCAAATTGCCTTTATAAGAAGACATGAGATCATTTCTTTTTGACGTGCTGGTTTACTTCTATGTGTGGTCAACTCTGTTGATGTTTCTCTTGTGTGGTGAAAGGTTTTACAGGTTATACAACAAGAGTTGTTGATTGCATTTTTGTGTTCACAATTGCTACATGCTTTTTCATTATTGAACTCCAATACTCAAAGCCCTACACAAGAAACTTCCTACATGGTCTCTTTGTTCCTCATCTCAAGATAAATTACGCAACTGGTCCGACAATCTCAGCCTTGGTTTTGTTATAAGTCCACTTACTCTCTTTACCTATCAGCAAAAGAGATTATTTTTATAAAAGTCTTACGCTAACATCTCTTTTCCACAGCCACAGGGCTTCGTTTCTCCTAGAGGTAAATTGCTTCATTGCTGCTGCTTTAGTTCTTTAATATAATGTTTCGAAACACTAAAGCTTACTGCGCTCTCGCTCTCTGTTTTAAACACACCATTGTGGGTAAATGGAGCTCAAAGCTATTAGCGATCTCACTTCTCACTTCTGGGCAGAGCTCGGCCGTAGCCGAAACTTACGTTGGACAATACGTAACGTAATGCATGATGAGTTTCTTGATTGAATACTCGAACTAGCTATAATCTCGAGCCTAATAGTTGTCATCATTGAAGGTTCATCTGGAGCCGATAAGTTAAATCATTATTGCTTTGGTAAAAGACAAGCATCCCATCTCTAGCAATCTCCAAGGTTGCCACTTTCAATATTTTCTTTGATTTACAGGTATTGCAAGAAGCTCAACATCGCTGAAGCTAGAAATTTCTTGGATGTCATCAAGTCATATGGATTGGTTCCAAGCTAATAAACTGTGCATATGCTTTCTCTACTAAAGAAATACACTCACACACAGGTAAACCCTCAACTTCTCTTTCAAATTATATTATTTTATTTCTTTCCCGCATTACGGGTCTACACATGGAAGTATGGAACAATTTCAAATCACTGAGGGTGTCTATTGTCGCAAAAATGTATGTCTCGGTCTTCTTTCATCTTGCTTCTGCAGTAGATATAGTTCTTAGCCTTTTTTTTGTCTTACCTGTTTTACGCATATATCTTGACTTCCTGAAGAATCGTTTCCCCTCCGCTTATTCCCTGTTTCGCTTCCATTTGATTATCAATACACATTTTAGAAGTTGTTATGTTCGTCATTTACTAGTGGGAGTGTCCTTGATATCTTTACACATTACGTATGCTGTGCCAAATAAATTCCATTGATGTCTTAGGGGCTTCAAATGTATGACTCCTAACTCCCCTTAACTCACATTTTCAAGTTCTCATGATAATTAAATGAGATTTGTTCGGTAAGATTTAATCAATATTAGGTTTTCCAAGTCATATTAAAATTGATGTATCCAGCTTTTCAAACTGGGATCCATAGGAAGATACAGTGAGATTTTCGACTCATATTTAAATTTCATGATGCGAGTTGAGCAGCTTTTCGTTATTTTTGTTCTTTATGTTCGTATACAATACCTCTTTTTTTTTGCTACACTTAGTGACATCCTTTTTAGTAGTGCATAACCAGTATATGTGCATTCCACTAATTCTATTTTTAAATGAACATAGTTTTTCATTTGCAGTTCCGTTTTACAAGTTAATTCTAAGAGTTATGTGAGAAATCAAGGTCATGGTTACCGCGGGCTACAACTCTGCAACATATGGGGATTATATTGCTTCTGCAACTACTTTGGAATCGATAGAGCAAGCAAGCACTTTTCCTGTAAACCAAAAAGATGCACCAAATGTTGATTCATATCAATCAGTCAATAACGTTACTTTGGTCAATGGGACTGGCCCTGAAAGTGGTTCGAGTTCGTCTGTTGAGAGTAGCAATGCGATATATAACTTGGCTGTAACATCTTCTGTAGCAAACATGAATACTATCATGGTACTTTCTTCTTCTTTTCAATTTAGTGTAATCACTGAGAGTTAACAAAGTTGGAGGGGACATTGTCATTAGAATCTGATGTGATCTTTAATAATATGATTCATGATTCTTGATTCTTCAAGGCTCACGCCATGGAGTAAAATTTGTAATCAATGTTGGGGTGATAAGGTGAACATTGTGATCTACATTTGTATATAAGTAAAAATGACCTTATGTGATTGAAAAAACTTGGTGGATTTTTCGAATGATCCTATAACTATTGACTATTAAAAAACAAAATTCAATACCACCAAGGATCCAAGTCAAACTTTATTTTCTTTTAATTAATAAATCACAAAGCTAAAAAAAATAGGGATGGGTGTAATAAATTATTCTGAGCCCTCAGATATCTTTGAATTAAAATTATTCATTAATTGTATAACATAAATTAATTCTATTTATTTTCTTATATTTTTCACATTATCACATATAATAACCATTTGAAATTATTCATATATTACTCTTTTCATTTGAAAATGAGTTATTGCGAAAAAAAAATTATACATTTTGGTTATAAATCTATAACTTTATCACATTTTATAAACAACTAAAATATTTTTTTAAAATAGAACTTCTAAAAAAATATTGGTTAAACATATATGTAGTCAATCAAGTAATTAATTTACCCAATTAGTACTATTTTCTTACCAATTTTTTGAAGTAACAGATTGAAATATTATATTAAATATTAGAGCCAGTAAAAGAAATTAAAAATTAGGATTTCACCTCATGAGCTAACTAATAGAGATTAAAAATACCAAAATATAATAAACAAATTACAAACATTAATACAGATGCAATATGTGTAAAAGATAATTTGTCGAGCGTGGTTGAAATTTTTCTATGGTAGTATTTTAAAAGTTTGTGAACACTTTAAAATTAAAATTTTTCCATTTAGTTAAAATATGTTTGTTTTTTGAATTATTTTTCACGGAGTCAAGAATTGTATATTTTTTGTTTACTTAGCTATTAAAAATAGATTTCCTATAATTTCTTAATGATATATTTACAGGAATTAAAGTAAGTCATTCCACAAATAAGTTTATGATACTTATGGAATTTCATTCTTATGATAAATACCGAACAACCTACATTATTTAACACATTAAACAATATATTATCGCTTATAAATAATATTGAGTTCACATAAACTTTGATATGAATTTTAATATATGTATATATACATATTATATAATGTATATAATCCAATACAAATTTTATATTAATCTACAATGAATATAAAAATGTAGAAAAATCTACGTAGAACAGCTTTTATTAATTAATGGATTTACGTATTCACATTTAAAATGTAAAATATAAAATAAAATAAAGAAAAATCATAATCCTTTATTTTGATAATATTAAAAGTATTGATCCGCGTGTAGCGCGGAAAAAGTCTCTAGTTCCCATAGAATTCCGGATGATTTTTTTTCTGTCGGGAATTTACTGTGATTCATTTTTTTTTTTATAACACTGAAATAACATCGTTCTTCAATGAAATGAAGACTTGGGTTCATGAAACCCAGAAAAACAACCATGACAAAACAAAATAGAGAAGAAAAAGAAACCAATGCCAGTTGGCATCAGACAAATAGCTGACAACTTGGAGCATAAATGAAATAGAACGCACTTTTATCTAAGTGCTTTGCGCTTCAAGAGATAGGACATGATGCAGCCATATCGGGCCATTGCGAGCTATGTAGGATTGATGTCTACGGTCTCGAGTCACACTGACTGCAATAGCTAATGCAGCTTCGTTTCTCTCCTTCAATGTGTGCTCTAAACTCCAGACTTCTATCTCCCTAAGATGGCTCTGGATCGCATGTATGATCTCTGCTAAATGTGGAAAGTGATTCGGATTGAGAAGAACTTCTCTAACCCCTTCCGATGATGTCTCTAAGATCACATTGGTGTGGTGTAAGGAATGCATACTTTCAACAGCCCACATCAGTGCCCAAAGCTCAGCTTCAGTTTTTGAGTGGACGTATGAGTACGATCGTCTACTATGAGCAAGTGTTTTACCTCTTTCGTCTCGAAGGATCCATGACGCTCCACTCATTATAGTAGAATTAATCCAGGAGGAACCAACATTGCACTTGATATGACCTGCTGGAGGCTTAGTCCACCCACATGGTAGAGGCCTATCATTTGTTGAGAGATCAACTTTTTGCCTCAGTTTTGTTGCCATTAGCCATGAAGAAGCTTCATCATACGCTTTCTGTGCCACCAAGTATGGTTCAGTTCTGGTGTTCTCGAAAACTAGACCATTTCTAGCTTTCCAAATTTGCCACAACACCCATGGGAATGCAATTCTCATGCTTTCTTCCAAAGCTCTGTTATTGGACACCGATAATAGATGTAGAATATTGAGAAAAACAGATGTTCGGGAAAAACCTGCAGGAGGTAAAGGTATGTTGGACATCTTCCAGGTTTCCTGAGCTTTATCACAACCAAAGAGAACATGGCAAATAGTTTCAGCTCCTTGACCACACTGTAAACATGTAGTCTCCAGTTGAATACCCCTTGTTTGCAGTCTCTCTTTTACCGCTAAAGCTCCTGAAAGTGCTCTCCACAGGAAGTGTTTTATTTTTGGTGGCGCCTGCACTTTCCAAACATTTTTCCATAATTGTTTCTCAACCGGTGGTAAGGCTCCTGCATTAGGATGGTTGACCTCCAATATTGTTTCCAGAAACTTATAGCCACTTCTTGTAGTATATTCTTCACTCTTTTCATAGCCCCAAACCACAGAGTCTTCATTCTGCAGACGTGGTCTCAATTGGAGTATCCGCTGAACATCTTCTGGAGTAAATGTTTCCTTTAAGAGATCCCTGTTCCATCGGTCCGTCCCATCTATGAGCAGATCAGAGACTTTAAGTGCTAAGTTGATCCTGCTCTCTGCTCTGTACATTGGTGGTCTTGGCGTTATATCTTTGATCCAACTTTCGGCCCACACGTTAGAGTTAACTCCATTTCCAATCTGTCTCATCAAGCCTTGTTTCAACAAACTTCTGCCATGTATTATACTTCGCCATGCAAAGGATGGTCTCGTGCCAATGCCGCATTCTAGGAACTCACATTTATTGAAATATCTCCCTTTGAGTACTCTAGCCATTAAGGAGTCAGGCTTGCTCAGGATCCTCCATGCTTGCTTTCCCAAGAGAGCTTGATTGAACCTTCCAATATCGTGGAAGCCCATTCCTCCATTTTCTTTTGGTTTGCAGAGTTTCTGCCATGCCACCCAAGAAATCTTTCTTTTCTTATCACCACTACTCCACCAGTATTCCACAATAGCACTAGTTATTCTCGCACAAAGGTCTTTAGGTAATTGGAACACTGACATTGCGTACACGGAAAGGGCTAGAGCTACAGATTTAATGAGAACTTCTTTGGCCCCCATGGAGAGTGTTTTCGCGTACCAACCTTGTAGTCTGCCCTCTAGCTTCTCTTTAATGAAGTTCAGTATGTCTTTTTTGGAGCCTTTGAAACATTCAGGTAACCCAAGATAGGTCCCTTCCCCTCCTTCTTTATCAATTTGCAGTACCCTTTTGACCTCTTCTTTTGTGCTGTCCTCGACCTTGTCACCAAAGATTATAGAAGATTTGGCCACATTGATCATTTGACCAGACGCTGCACCATATAAGTTAAGACATCGGATTCATTTATAAATTAAAAGATGTAGTACCAAATGCTGGACAAGGGTTATCCAACTTACAATGACATCCCTGACGCAAAGCACAAGCCTAGTTTAATCATTTGCGGTAAGAAAAAATTCTCAATCTTTTAAATTTTATGGTTTGTAATCAATAGGATGGTGTTATTTCATATTTGATATCTTTTTAAAAAGGAAATAAAATTTTGTTAAGTTATATTATGTTTTTCAAATAAAAATACAAAAATAAATAAAAAATAATAATATTTACAAAAAAAAGTCTTAAAAAAATATTTTAACACTAAAGCATAAACCCTAATCCTAAACCCTAAACCCTTGGATAAATTATAAAACTTTTGAAAAAATCTAAAACATTAAATCAAAATAATTAATACTAACCAATTATACTGTTTTCTTATTTATTTTTATCTTTTTATTTTACAAACATAATAAAATGTAACAATATTTTGTTTTCATTTTAAAGATATATTAAAAGAACTTTTTTAAAAATTGTTTTTTGTATTACTGTTTTTTATTTTATTTTTATCTTTTTTCTTTTAAAACATAATATAATGAAATATTTTTTAAAAAAGAATTTTTTTTTGTTTTTTTAAATAATATTATTTTTATTTTTATAACTTAACAAGATTTTTTTTCAATTCTTAAAAGATATCAAATATGAAATAACACCATCCTATTGGTTGGTGAACCTAGATGTTCATTCTAGGGTATTGTGAACTCAAAAATAAATCATCTTTTTAACCTACTTTTTTTGGTGAAAACTTTTTTAACCTACTTGATTTTGTTTTTATTCTTTTTAGAAAAAATTCACTTGGGATTCAGGATTTACTGAGATTGTGAAAAACACTTTCCAACATTATGTGAATAGCCACTATGACGGCCAAATTAATGACTGGAAGCAGAAGTGGCTCGGTGACAAAGTGCCAAAGTGACAAAAATCAGTTGGAAACCATTTCTAGTAACTGACATAGCGAGGCGGGGGGAAGGGGTTTATGTCCAGAATATGTTGTCAATCAATTTGCCTTTCCGAGAATTTCAGCTAGTAAGTTTTAAAATTATTACTAAATTTATTTTATTAATATTCATTATCTTTTATTATTTGTAGATTACAGAAAATGATGGTAACTCCATTGACAATTTGACGTTGTTGAATTTGGTGTACACAAACAAGCAGAGTGGCAAAATTTAGGATCTCACTATTAAGGATGTCATCCAGCTTGTACTGTCCTTAGCAAATGACCTCATTTGGACTCATGCTTCTCTTTAAGAAGATGGATCTTATACTTCCTCTAACAGCTTAACCCTGGAACAACTTAACAACCTTGTTATTAAGGTATGTTTCCAAAAAAAAAATCCAAATTATATTAGATGTTTGTTTAATATGATTATAGTTATAATTTGTTTTCTTTTTCTTGCAGGCTGTTCTGAAGATGAAAGGTCATTATGTCTGGTTAGCTCGTCGACTCCATCTTTTTTTTCTTCTTTGGTTCTCTGTCCATACTCCGTTGATGAGTTTTAGAAACAGATCAAGAATAAGGATGGCGAGACAGAGTCGTTGGAGACTACTAATGCTGATATACGGGTTCAGTAGGCAGAAAACAAGACTATAATCTAACCGTTGATGGAGAAACTGAGACAGCGGTTCATGGACGACTTATAGTTCCCTTTTTAAATTTCTCAATATTAACTTATTTAGTTTTTTTCTTTACCAACTTATATGTATTGATTTAAGAAAAAAATAATTATATTTTTCAATTAATATTTTAACTATCAGACCTAAATTATTTTTAAATACATAATTCTTTTTTATATTTTTTAAAGAAATATTTTTTTCATAATATCAGATGAATTTCTAAAAATGAATTTCCAACAGATTCCCTACAAAAAATTTCATTGGACAAAGGCGTAAGGAATTGTCAAATATATTCTCCACGACATTGTGTCCGTCGAGAATTTTCTTAGCGGATTACCAACAATTGTGTAATATCTCAAACTCAGCCGTAAAATTTTCCTTTTTTTTTGTTTGTAAAAGAAGCCCATTTGCAAAAGGTCCAAAAGGGAGAAATCTTAAAATTCCCTTCTCTTTTCTTATAAAAGGGGTGTCTCCTCCTCATTTTCTCAGCAGAGAGAATAGAAGTGATGTCATGCAGAGATCTCGAGCCATCAGCCGTCAAGCAACCCGAACCCTAGCCGCCGCAATCTCCGATTAGTCACCACCGCCAGTTTTCCTTCTTCTTCTTCATCGTGCTCTATGTTAGTTAGGTCTGAAAGGTAAGCCTCATATCTCATGTTCCCCTTCTTCATCTCTATGGTTTTTCACTGGGTGTGATAGATATGATCTCTAATCCCTTTTCCCATCTCATATTGTGTGTGAGAGCACATATATGTGATTGTGTTGCTACATTCTTCTTCCGTTGGATCTGGATCTGGATCTGTGACATCGAGAAAGGCTAAGGTGAGGACCCGGTCGTGAACTTCTCTCATGATGTATAATATCTCGGGGAGTTAGTCCTTCGTTAATGTTGAACTAGATTTAGTTGTTGGTTTGCGTTGATGTGATGAAAAATATGTTGATTATTGATGTGAGTAAAATAACCTAGAACATATAGGTTGTTAAAGGATAACCGGTTAGGTGATAACACTGAATGAATGACAATAATGAATGTTAATAAGGGTGAATGATGATAAGAACGAATCTGGTTAAAACTGAATGTGGATAAGAATAGGGCGTTATGACGTCGTCAGTGAGACATGAGGTTGTATCATAGTGTATAAAGTGTCGGTTTACGAGTGCCGGTTTGGCTGAGAGTGATGAAGCCGTGTAAGGTCATGAGGTGTACGGGTGATTAATTTGGAGAACTCGTGGATTAGAGAGTCTAGAGAATCTTGTTAGATGAATGCTAGGTGATATTAACTTATGATTTGTGCTTGATGTGTTTTGTGATATGAAATAAGTTTGTAGGTTCTAAGAACCTATCCACACTGAGTAATATACTCACTGAGTAATCTCAATTATTTCACCTTTCCTTCTTGTAGGTTTGATCGAGGAGGTATAGGAGTAAGAGTCAAGATGGTGCCATCTGTTTGGGTTTTATTAAGAATTTTTCACTATGTTTTCTTATACTATTGTTATGTTATTTGGGTTTTGATGAGTTTAGTTTCTTGTAAGACGGTTGAATTTTGAAATGAGAAATTTACATTCTAAGACACATTCTCACTTTCTATTAACACAATGAGACACATTTTGCTGGTAACACACTTTTTGTGTGTCTATTGTCTCTTGCACCCCTAATTACAACTCGTCTCATTCTTCATTTTCCTCTAACTAAACCAAACTATCCAATTCACAGATAAATAAAAAAATACACAAAATCATTTTCTTAATTGCGTCAATTCTCTTGCATCCTCTCCCTCAAATCGAAGAACATGAAGAAATCAGCAACTCAAAAACTTATTTGATTTCAATTTTCCATTTTATTGCCCTCTTCTGCTAATACTCCCGAACCTTTCTTATTTCTTTTATCTCTGTAAATCGCAAAACATGGTGAAATCAAAGTCGAAGAAGAAAAAAAATTTCTTAGTCAACCAACTTCACAGGAGCTTTTCGTCGGGGGTTTGTATTTCATCTACCTTAGCTCTTTTCTTCTTTCAATGGTTGTAGATCTAGAGATCTATAATAGTAGCGTACATGCAAATTTAATTTCTGGTTTTGAGACCATACACCTTGGTCAAGAATTGTAGATCTATAGATCTATAATAGTAACATACAAGAGATTTCGCCGTGTCCAAGCCATGACTGTATAGCAGAATCAAAAGATGAGACCTTTAGTGAGTTGAAGGCGGAACTCGATGGTGGTGGTGGTGGTGGCGGTGGCTGTGACAGTGGGAGTAATGCTGGAAAGTAGATAGTGGTAATGGAGGGGGAGGAGATATAGGTAATATGTGAGAAGATGAAGATGGTAAAGCTGGGGAATGAGGTTGGTTCGGTATGGAATTCACCAGATTTAGAAAACAAATTCTCAAAAGGTATCAACTTTATAAGTTTATGCTCTTTGGTTAAATTATCACCTTTTAATTAGGTCACCTTCTTTTTGTTCATACACTTTGTAAATCTTATTAAAATAATTTTCTCCTCTTGTATATTGTTGTTCATGTCTTCCGTCCAGATTTTACTGTCCACATATTTTTATTCACAATATTTTATCCACATAACAGTTGTCAACAACATTATGTCGTAGTGGAGGTAGTGGTGTTTATGGAGAAGGGGGTGGTGGAAACGTGAAGCTGTATACTCGAGAGGGAGAGGTGGTGGTGGAAGACGTGAGGTTGGGGTATACAAAGGTGAAGGCCGTGTTAAGTGGTTGTGGTTACCGTAGTGGAAATTGTGGTGGTTGTGGAAGAGGTGGTGAAGGTGGAAATCATGTTAAGTGGTCATGGATATCTCAGTTGTGGTTGTGGAAGAGGTGGTGGTGGATACAGAGGTGAATGGTGTGAGAGTGGATACATCGGTTATGGAGCAGGATACTGGTGGTGAGGTGGTGGTGGTGGATACAATGGAGGTGGAAGTGGGGTAGAAGTTGTGAAGGAGGTGGTGAAGGTGGAGGGTAAAGAGGAAGTCGTAGGTTGATATTTCATATCAACCATCATCGGAATTTTCGTTTGATGACACAAACCTTAAACACAAAATTTGAGACCAAATCAAGAGGAGATTGACAGGTGGGGACGAAACCAAGAAGACATTGAGAGTTCAAGACAAGCTGAAGCTGGATTGAGTTCGTTGATTGTCCCTGTTTCTCGAGGTAAGATTCTTTTTTTTCTATGTTTTGTTCACTCATAATTTGATATTCTGAGAAATTGAAGAAAACCTGTTTGAGTTTAGTTTGTTTGATTGTTTTGCGATTTAAGATTTGTGGTTCGTTTGATGATTGTTCTTATCAATTATGTGGTTAGCTTTTGTTTTTAAAGATGGAACCTTTAGTCTTGTGGTGTTTGATTGGATACATATGTGTTGATGTGTTTTATCAAAGCTTAAAGTTTTTTTATCGTTTGGGGGTGATGAAACATGTCTGTTGTTTTGATGGACTAGGAATGTGTGGATGTGGTTGTAAGGGATATGCGAGGTGCGGGTATGGCTGCTGTGGACAGATATTGTATGGATGTGATCGGTGTGGACAGTAATTGTGTGGATGTGGTTGGTGTGGACACAAGAGATGTGGTTGGTACAGAGCTTGAGATGGAGAAATTCATTTTTGTGTGTTTTGAATGTTTTCATATTTATATTACTAAAGTATATGTAAATGGATATTAAAATATAGAAGAAAAAAAAGATTTTATTATGTCAAATTTATTTATTTATTTACTTTAATATTCAAAAATTAATCAAATTAAGAAGTGAAGGGTGAATTGATAAAAAGAAAGATCCATGACAAACTTTTAACTAAAACTACTTCTAATAGTCAATCTAACCATTTCGGACAGCCAACTAAACCAAGCTAGTTTCTCCCCTTACACAAGTAAGGGTACTTTCGACACTATCACAAGAGAGAGAGAGTAAAAAAATGTGTGCCTCATGTGTATTGTGTCTTCAAATGTAAAAAAAGATAAGAATGTGTCTTATTATGTAACACACTCTTTTGAAATAAAAGAAGTATTGAATTGAACAGAAGTGTTGTTAAGGTTGAAAATAAGATCCTAGAAACAGGGATGTTACAAAGTGTATCCACTGGAAATAGTCATTGCGAACCTATTAGATTTTTTCTCTACAGACACATTTTCGATTCACATATATAGGTTCCAAATTCCCAACGAATCCTGGCGCTTCTTCCCACAAACAACCCGTCTTGAATTTGTTGAGAAATGATCAATCAGGATGTTTTGACAAATTTTGCGATGGATTTGTTTTCCGACAAGATATACTTGACTGATGATTTTGGAAAAACTCGTTGCTGATTTCTGTCAGGGTTTACCTGGTATCTTGTATTTTGCTTTAAGTACATACCAAATGCTGATATAGACACACCATCTCTAAATTCAATATATACCACATAGTAAGCAAAAAATATAAAGTTTAATTATATATGTGTAAAGTTGTTACTACAAATCAAGAATCACACCACAGTAGTAGAATCCCTACCCGAATCCTTATTCAAATGGAAATGACAATGCATATATATATGAATATTTTGTGTATATATAGAACCCTAGAAATCTTCATATAAGTGTTTCTTGAAGGTCTCCATGTGAGCTACCTGTAGACACGTGGCGAGAATCAGTGAGCCATCATCATTTTTATCAGGCAACAGCAGAGAGCCCCCGTCGCCGTCATGCGTGCATGGTCCCATGTGGACCTCCTTGCCCCACCCGAAATCAAGGCCGTACATTGGAAGAGTTAACCAGCTCACTAGTCCAAGATTAGGGTTACCGTAGAATGGACCTTCCGTGCTTCCCAAGGCATGTATATCTTGAAATGTCTTCAGATCTTCGTGGTTTTTTAGATACTCTATCCCGGTCATTACGTATTCGTTTGTCACACTCTTTATGGCTTCACTGATTTTTTCCGCCGCGAAACCCAACCCATTCGATGTGAGTTCACCTACATGCACAAGAAAATCATCGAAACACAGAGAATTCTCACTGTATGATCCCTGAATACCTACTACTACGAAATATATTAACTACATTAACCGCAGGTCCCAGAATTGGGAAGAAAATATGATTGGTTTGACTATACGTGCATGAGAAGCTACCAAGAGATTGTCCATCTAAATTTGAATTCATACTATAATGGTTCAAGAAGTATATCCTTTCTACAGCTAGCCTATTGAGTGAGATGGTACGGTATTATTTCGTACTACATATGTATATACTACCTGCGGTTAACAAATTTGAAATTTATATATTTTTTTCACGTGAGTTAAACTGCACCACTATGTATAATATCCCTTTCTTGAACATCACATTATTAATTCAGACAGGAATGAATTCGATATTTTATCTTATTAATTTTTATTAAAAATCTTAAGACAATACCCTATTTTTAAACAAAAAGAAACACTTAAAATATATAGGACAAGATTTATCATGAACGGAGAGAGTATATATTATATTGCACGTGACAAAATATCAACTGAAAAATTAGATTAAACAACTTTTCAAATTTGGCAAACCGTACCTGAGGTGCTTCTTGCGACCACATTAATAGTGGCGTTGCCAAAGTAGCCACGTGGTAGAGGTGGCTGCACCCGACTACGAGTATCTACACAGATTCCCAGAGACGTGGGTTGCTCTGGTGAGTGCCCACGTGCTTTAGACGCGCACCTCCACACGTGTCCCGCGACCGTCTCGTACCTTGTAAACCCTCTCGCTGGATCAGCGTATTCGCTTGTATTCACTCTATTTCTAAGCTTCTCAAGAAGAGATTTGCTCAGTTTTATTATCTCTACAGTTGTTTTCTTTTTTCTTTCTTCTACATTGTCCGTTTCTCCGACCAGAAACGGCGGCTGTTCAAACCCTTTGCGGTCGCACTCAGGTGACGAGGCAAACGGCGGAAGCGGTTCACCAGTCCAGAGGACTTTGCGGTCGAGAATTGGAATGGTTTCAAGAGGTTCCCCGCGAGCGATTCTTCCCCATTCCGACAAGAAGTGAAACGCGCTTTGTCCATCGACCACGGCGTGTGAAATGCTGACGCCGAGGCTTATTCCGCCGCATTTAAATCTGGTGACCTGAGCTAAGAAGAGAGGGATAGTTTCAATAGGGTGTTTGTAGTTTACTTGCGGAACAAGCTTCTCAAATTCTGGCGTTGGAGAGAAATCGTTGAAATCTGAAAGTTTTGCCTCGGACTCGGCTTCCATTAATGACACTCCCTCGGCGTTACAATCGAGCTCTAACCGGCCCCGAGGGAGCCACCTAAGACGACCGGCCATAGGGTAGAAGTGAAAAAGTGCACGGCTCAATGAGTTTCTTAGGGTTTCGACTACATCGCCCTGGAACAGTTCAGATGGCTTGTTGTAAAAGTAAACGGTAGGAACGTGAGTTATTGTACCAACTAGATCCCATTCGGCTAATGGAAAACAACCGGTCCATGTAGGTTCAGAGGGTACGATGGTGTAAATATTTTTTAGGATGATAGGAGCCATATCATAAACCAGTTTTCTTTTTTAGTTTCGTCGACGGAAAGTACTATTTATATAGTATATTGAATCGTATGAGTTTATCATTATTTTATAGCACTTTTTTAAAATGTATTTCTCGTGATTTAGTTTGTTTCCTTGTAAACAGCTTATTTTATGGAAGTGATAATAAGGTTTATTTGTTGGTATGTATGCTCATGCTTATTGTCCCTATTCTTAATTTAATTCACACAATCGATTAAATATTCCAATATATTTTTAAGTGATTTGTCTACCTAAATCAATATATTATTTCTTAGTTATTCATATGGCTGATGTCACATACGATTAGGCATTTATAGGCTTATTGGAATTTGGAAAGAATGGCAGATGTAACAAACGAGTCGGACCATGAGTCGAACCAGTATGATGTGGTTAAGACCTTTCACAAGTGAAGATGAGAATCGTATATCATTCTGGTTCGACTCATAGTCAGACTTGGGGCGTCTCTTTGATAGGACCTAGAAATCGTATCCACGTGGGAATAAGGACAAAGCATCGGTGGCAGCAGTTCTAGGAATTAAAAGGATAAAAAGACATATGACTGATCTGTTTGATACAATAGAGAATCCGTTGAGCCACAATGAGCAAAGTGAACTGTGGGTGAAGATGTGTAATCTGAATTCGGTAAGTACCGATGGTATGTAATAGTTTGATAGTAGGTTATTTGAAAGATTCTTTATAAAGATCAAATGGTGGTGACTACAGCTAATACGAGTTCTCATTCATGGCATACAAAAAATACCTGAGAAACCGCCGGTTCTCAAAGGCTAATATCTACGAATCTTTCGGGATCATAGCTAGGATTTCTTTTGGCATCGGGTTCTCAAAGATAAAATATTGTTGAAGCGGGTAAACCGATCGACAAAAACAATCTAAAAGAAACAAAATTAAGGAAACTGATGATTCTAAAGACGATAATAAGAATGATAACACATGGAGTCGAGATATAGTCACTTTCCTTAACTTTGAATATTAACTCCGTAGTACGATGAAACTGTACGAATATAGAGTCTCAGAATAAAATCATGGCGATGATTCACGCTTCACCCGTGAAATGTCCTAACGAACTAAGATATATGTAACATTCTCTAAACTTACGCAGAGAGTTTTTGCTGGATTTCTCTATGTGAAAAATGTCAATAATGAAGGAGAAGAAGAGGAGTATTTAAAGAAGAAATGAGAATTCGAATTTCGTAACTAGCGGAACACGTTAGCGAAATACTTTCAAAGATCAGATCTCGGAAGTGGAGAGGTGAGAAACTTTCTCCACAAAATTTTCTTCTTTACTCGTCTTGATCTTTTGCAAACAAATAAACTTCATGTTGTTTTAAAATGAACTTCATGTCGTTAAAAAAACATCATGCTGTTTTTAATTCAAATGGACCAAAAATTCAAAAGTAATTTGGTCAAAAAAATTCTTATTGGACCAGAAGCCCTCTACCCAAACTCAAACCTAGCCGACCGGTCGGCTCGGCAGCGACGGCGCGCGCATGGATAACCTTCTCCTCTCTCGCTTTTATAAGGTGGGAATCTATTTATATAACTTGCTTTTGCCAAAAATCTCCGATGTGGGACTTTGACAAAGTCATTCATTTAAGACAAATATGGCTTTCCTCCTTATGGTCCAAAGACCATTTTCAATTCACATTTAATTAAAAGTCCAATGATTTTTTATTTGACCCAACAAATATTAAGGACAAAGATTCTACACCGGAAGTTGGAAGGGACCCTAAGTACTATATAAGATATATGGACCAATTCACTTATCACTAATTATTTTTAGATTGGAAGTCCATCTAGCTTACCATGGTGTCAAAGCCCTCAATCCCCGAAATATAACCTGATCCTCATCAATCTGGCCCAAAGAGGATCCATCGATCCCTACCCGAACATTCTGAGATTGACGCTAAAAAACCATCATTTCGAAAACGCGTATTAAGGACAAAGATCTCACATTGAAAGTAATAAGAAATCCTAAGAGTATATAAAATGCCTAGATCTCTTGGGACCAGAGAAAAAATTCTTTAAACCCTACGGGTTCCGAAGAAAATTTATCAGGAGCGTATGTATTTTAGCAACTCTAGATCTCAAATTTCAAGACAAAAATATATATATGGCTCAAAGCCTCAAAAGAGTATATAAATAGGCTATCATTATGTACAATCTTGCTTATGAGAGTTAATGGCTCTGGAACTCAATCTACTAGAAAAAAACGATAGGCGACCCGAATAAAAAATTGTTGCTACAAACAAAAATTTTCCAAACAAATAAAGGGTCGGAATCAGAACCTTCCATCGAGGGGATTGGGTCCTTCTACAAGTATTTAACAACACCAGAGACAAGTCCGCAGAAAACCTAGCTTACAGATGGGAAGGACCCTACAAAGTGATGGGGAACAGTAACCTACAAACTACAAGACATGTACGACGAGACTCAACCCCATATTTGGAATGTCCTGCATCGAACAACCTACTACTTCTACAAATGATCTTTGAATCATGTTTTGTCCACCTCTTACTACTAATATTTAAGGACTTTTTTTTCTACTTATCCTAGATCATTTCATTTATACTCTATGTTTCCTTACTGTTTTTATCTAATAAAACCACGAATTACTTAAAATAAACTGCAGTAAGAAAACCAATCTACTGTAGGGGAAAATTATCCTAGACTGAGCCTTGATAGGCTCCAGATCCTGGGAAACCCTATATGCATGGACCCTGCATATAAGTAGGACATCCACGATAATGATGCAAAAGGTATATGATTATAGCACGAGTAGGCTCGCGCAAACCTGAATATGCAGTCAAAAATACCAAACTTATGCATAAAAGCCATGTGCCAAAATCTATGAAAGAAATTACCATACGAAATGTGTATATTTCTGCACAAAATGCTAAGGGCTATTCAAAGTGCATGAAGCATCAAGTACACACGCAAAGTACTGTAAACAAACACCAGAGTTTACGTGGAGCAATAGTGCAAAGACCTAACCACAGGCACACCCTGATTCCCTGCTTATCTCGACGTGGAAATTAGTAAGACTAGTGCTTGAGGCTATTCAAAGTGCATGAAGCATCAAGTACACACGCAAAGTACTGTAAACAAACACCAGAGTTTACGTGGAGCAATAGTGCAAAGACCTAACCACTGGCACACCCTGATTCCCTGCTTATCTCGACGTGGAAATTAGTAACACTAGTGCTTGTCTCACCACCCCATGCAGACTCATATCAGAACCAATTGGTAAGACTGGTGCGTGCCTCACCCATCTAGATCCGAGTCACACCAGTACGTGATAAAAGCCTGACAATAGCTTACCTATCGAACGCATCATCATAAGACGTTTTAATGGCCTACTTCCGAGTGGTAAAGTGAAATTTCTAAACTGGTATAGTCAATAACAAACCTCCAGGAGCCATAATACCATATTGAAGCAGGTCAAAACAAACCCCAGATTTAAGACCAAATAAAACGACCTCCGTGTCCATATCTGACAAACTTCATACAATCTCCAGGTTTAAGATTGCAAGCAAAAAACCTTCGGTTTAATATTCTACAAAAGCTTGCACAGCCCAAGGTTTAAAACAACTGATACAAGTTCTCTTTCATGGCACACACAATACCTAAGAAACCTAGGTTCTCAAAGGTAAAATCTACAAATGCTTAGGGATCAAAGCTATGATTCCTTTCAGCCTCCGGGTTCTCAAGGACAAATACCTAGATCCCTTGGGACCAGAGCACAAATTCTGTAGAGCCTCCAGGTTCCGAAGAAAATTTGACCGGAGCATCCAGCTCCTACACGATGTATTTTGGCACCTCCGAGTCCCAAGAAAAAGTATGTCTCAAAGCCTAAAAAGAGTATATTATTAGGTTATCAATCATGTACTATAATCGAATAGCTTCAGAAGACCATCCTCGAGATCTGGTATTTCCAGCAAAACAAATGGAAGACAACGTCTAGTCTCCATCCGACTCCTGATCACAAGCAAGATTGTCTCCTACTTTGTTCTGCCTGTATATACACCTATAATTCAATTGATTTTTTTAGGAATGCCATAAAATTATCCACATATGGCCTGCAAACATCTGAAAATTAATAAGAAAGCTAGAGCTTGGTCCGCGCACCCGTGCAGGTATTGGTTATGCCTTTTATTACCTTGATATTTGTTTTTTTTATAAGTAGTGTTATATATTTAAGAAGTGTCTCCATATAACTAACTGTATTCAAAAGATCCGGACCGAATCTGGTAATATGGATAGGTTTGGTACACATATCTGAATCCATTTCGGATACATTGGTTATTTAGATATTTTTAAAGTTCTACAACAGAAATAAACTCATCCAGATCCGGGAGAACCCAATTCGAAACCCACACATAAATTTATAATATCAAAGCGGAGCCTAATTTCAAAACCCAAAATTAAAATGATACCAAATTAAGAACCCTTACCTGAATGGGTATTCAATGTTCATGCCTAACTGATTCTGTAAACTAATATAAATGACTATTTTTATGTGTTTGGTAAATTTGGTAAATGACTATTTTTAGTTTGTAATACATTTTTCTTATTTTATTTTAAGTTATTATTTTATTCACATAAACATGTCTTTGAATTATGTGTTTGGGTACATTGTTTTCACTGATTGAAACTAAAAACTAAAAAAGGTTTTAGCAAAACAAACTAAACTAAACTTAACCATATGCAAAATCTAGTTATTTTAAATTTTGATTTTTATAATTGTAAAAATTTAATGTTGATTAACTAATAAATAAAAATTTACATTATTATTATATTACGGTAATATTTATGATATGATGTATTTTTTATGGTAATATAATTAATGAAAATGTTGAATTGAATGAAAAATGGACAGACAATTAATATAATAACTTGTTTCAAATAAAATTACTTGTATTTGTACTTTAGTTTTAAAAATATAAATAAATTTATTCACATAA